ATATATATATATATATATATATATATATATATATATATATAGCGCCATTTAATCAATGCAATTGTATAAAAAAATGGTTGTAGTATCTAGAGATAATGGAACAATAGTTTATATTAGTTTAACTTCTGATGAAATATCTCATAACATTAAATGAAAATTTTTTAATTAAAATTAAAATTTTGCATATTTACTTATTCAATTTTCGGGCCCAGTTATATGGTACATATTATACTTAATAAACGACTTGTAAAATATTTTCACTTAAAATACATAGATATATTTGAATTAAAAAATTAGCTACAAATGTATCGTACAATTATTAATTTTATTTCGATACTCTATATAATTATATTATGCGCTTACTGATACTTAAACCACTTTGTAGTAGTAGCTACAAGAGAGCTTTTTTATGTGACCACATATATCAGTATACGATCATAATTACAATAATCGTACGAGAACGCAAGATTATAGGAGCTCAAGATTGTAAAATTATATGATCGTAAGTATTACACACAATATTACTCTCTTGTTGCGTAATATTAAATGCAGAAATATATCCACACCCATACTGAATCTTTCACACATTGATCATGAAACTCAAATTTAAAATAACTTAGGAATTTAAATAAATTGCTTAATCATTGTCGATAATGATTCATGCAACTGGCAACATGAATCAGATATTCAAGCAGTCTTTCGTAACTAGAACATATATATCTATACTTGCGATAAAATTTACATAGAAACGTATATTGTACCCAGCAAATGAGTTAATCAGCTTGATTACCAAATCCATTGGTACTTTGGAATAAGGAAGCAAGAGTATCGCACACGTAATACAAACATACAATACCAAGCATTCGCGCATTCCAATCAAAGTATTCACTTTACATTGTCTCACTTTGTACATATATACTGAACTTATAAATATTCACAAACATTCATTTGCCTCCTATGCCATTGTATACTCGATTCACTGGATCTTGTTGCAATAATTTCTTTATATCTGAAACAATAAAATCAAATTTACAATGTATGATAATCTACAAGACGTACATTGATACAATGCAATTGTTTCACGTACCTTCTTTTTGTTCATCTGTAAATTCATTATCAGGAAATGCAATATCAAAAGTAACAAATAAAGTACCATGGTTATTATTATTATCGTAATTAGGCATTCCTTCGCCCTTTTTCCGAATACGAGCACTATGTTTAGTGATTTTGTCCCTTTGAATGGTCACTGTATGACCATCTAAGTGTTTTATATCCACACTAAAACCTAGTAACGCATCTTGCAAGGAAATGGTAATATTTGTGTATAAATCATCGCCTCTTCTTTCAAAAACGGGATGAGGTAGAGTTCGTATCCTATTATAAACAATTATATTGTAAATAGATAATTGTATTATTAAAAATCTTATACTTGAGATTGTAAGTATAGAAATATATTTGCTTACTTTAATATCAAATCACCAGGTTCTCCATCGATGTGAGGTTCTCCTTCCGCTGTAAATTTAGTTTCTTGACCATCCACCATGCCTGCTTCAATTTCTACTTCCAGCACACGATCTTCATTCACTAATTTGACATTTGGACATTCTGAGCACACTGACTGTTGCATCATTTGGAATCTTCCATTTCCTAAGTTGCGAGTAACTAATTCTTGTCTACAATTGCATTTCCTTGTTCCTTTTGCTGCTTTCATAACTAGTTTATTTCTGGTTATCTGTAATATAAAATCTCAAAGTAAATTAGAATAATGAAGAATTAAAATATTTTAGATACTACATCTAGCAATATAATTTTTACCTCGATAAAATTTCCACTGTATAATTCTTCTAAGGTGACAGGTATGTCCATTACAGTATTTGCACCTCTTGGAGTTTCATGTTGATGATGAGATTCTCCACCAAAATGGAAACTGAAGTCACCAAAGAAACTTGCAAAGGGATCAACATTATTGTTCATCATGCCATCTCTTTTCAAACATTCTTCTCCGCACCGGTCATACATTTCTCTCTTTTCAGAATCTGACAATACTTCATAGGCTGCTCCTAAGTCTTGAAATTTTCGAGAAGCATCTGGATCATCTTTATTTTTGTCAGGATGCAATTCTTTTGCTAACTGTCTATAAGCCTTCTTTATTGCATGTGTACTTGCACTACGAGACAAACCTAAGATGTTGTAAAAATCTCTCCTGCAAAAAACATATAATAACGGTAAAATCTATTATTTAACAAGGATTTTATCATATTATTAACAATATGAATAATATAAGATAATATTAGAAATTAATAAAATTATAAAGATGAAAGGACTTTTTATAAATCTTGATACGAAATTTAAGGAAATAATAGATTATATGAATCTCTTGTATATATATTATATATATATATATATATATATATATATATATATATATATATATATATATATATATATATATATATAAAGTTAACTGATAAATAAGGAAAAAAGTGAAAGATTATAAAACTCACTACGTAAAAAACGGTTTTGAATAAACTAATGCATAAGATACATTGAAAAAAAATATCATTTTTACTTACCCAGCTATCGATATTACAATACATGTTGTTAAATTTATAAATAACAGCCAATTTAACTTCAAACCTTCCATCCTAGCAGACGTTACACAAACATCTGAGCACACATCATCAGAGCTTAAATCGTGGGAGCTTCTGATTGGTCATGAGGAGAAGCTTAATCTAATTTTCATGAACGATAAATATACTCAAGGGCTGGTATTCATAGACCCATATTCTGAATCCTCTTTTATCGAAAGGGTGCCATTACATGAAGCGCGAAAACGCGGAAGACAAAATCTTATTAGATTTCCGCGTTCCGCGAATTGAATCAATGGGTGCGTTCAGCAAACTCAAGTTGCACAACAGTTGAATAATTCGTCAACGTAATTGGTCTAGATTTAGGGATCTAACAGTAGGAACCAATAATGGCTGATTGCTCATTGAGCGCTTTTTTCGCTGAACGCCCCCATTTTTTCCCGTACAATAAAAAAGCGGAAAGCCCAAAACTTTTCTCTATTGTCTTTTCATCCAAAGTACCAAAGTATAAATTCCAAAAAAATATCAGGTCCGAACGTGTTTGAATACGTCTTAATGTAACGGCGGTTAGATTGAACAACTTGTGATAATTTGTGACAACTTGTGAGAATGAATTTTTTTGCTCTTGTTTCGCGACTTTATTTCTCCTTATATTACATGGAGCACAATCTGCGCGGAAAAGCGAAACGGTTTAGTGATAAATAAACATCTGTATTCATTTTTTAAAATTGTATTAACTTAATTTACTGCAATTTTTACTAATATGTTTATCTTTTCAGCTTATCTGTTGAATATAAGCATTTTAATTAATAAATACCGTTAAAAATTAATATTTTATAATTCCCCATACCGCTTTTTCGCTCAAAATATGCCTCATGTAATATAAGGCAATCAAAACAGACGCTGAACGCGAAGCGAATCTAGTAAGATTCTGGTGTTCCGTTTCGTATTCCGTTTCACGCATAGTGCACATTTATCTATAGTTCGTGTTACGTATATTGGCTGCATTCCGAAATTCACTGCCAGGACTGAAAATCTATAGTATACGTTACATAAACTATAGATTTTCAGTACTGGCAGTGAATTTCGGAACGCAGCCATTGTAGGCAATGCGCGCATAATGCGTGAAACGGAACGCAACCTTTTTTCTTTCGCGTTTCCGCACTTCATGTAATGGCGGACTTCCGGCGAATCCGCTCCACTCTGCCTAAATTCCTTCTGTTTGCCCCTAGTGCTTTCTCACTCTATTTTATTGACTGTTAAGCAGGAGGACACGTTTAACACTGCAAATATTTTAAAACGTTAAATTGTAACGTCCGGATCTATTTTAGAACATTAATAATATATTATTATAGACCGGGAGGCCGACTTGTCTGATTTCAGACATCACTAGATATTTTATCCCTATGTTACTAGATATAAGTACGTGCGCATATGCATATTCGCGAGCGTTAAAACATTATAATTAAAATACCGAATGCTGCGTGCTGCTGGAGAGTCTCGAAATCAACGGATCGACCCAAAGAAACCGCTATCGCTCAGTGCGATAAGCCAACATAAACAGGAGCATGAAAACTGAATCCCAAACACCACTCAGGACACCGATGCGGTGACATCATGCAAAGGAATGAATCTCTTCCCTCGCCATAACTCCATAGACCAATCGGAGAACGATTCTCAGCGACAAAGCGACATATAAAAGCGCGCGCATTTGTAGAGAAGGCAATATAATTATTTTCTTCTCATAGTTAGTCTCTGGTAGCTTCGTGTACTTATTCAGCATATTATACTTAGTCGTAAAATCCGACTGTGTTGCAATTACTTTTGCCTACCCTTCATATTTCAAACATTGCGAAATCAAATTCTGAATCGCGGGCCGCATCAACCCGCGTGGTATCGGAACTTCCGAGGCCGAGCCAAGAGAACAAGCACCGCTGATTTTCCGCCAGATTCATCAATCGTTTCGCCAGGCTCCCGAGACCCAGGGTAAACTCGGTGAAAAGCAGAGTGACCCAAAAGCGGAGTCATCACTCTGTTGACCGTCCACGTAAGTCACTGATTTTACTACTTTAAAATTTCCCTATATAGTTATTTATCGTGGACGTAACAAAATAAAGCAATGTGATTAATCCATTCGTCGCTCTGAAGCATTTACAACATAAAATGAAACTATTTACAGCACTAAACTTTATCCCAGAACTGTATCCCGTCATAGCAACCTAATCTTTTTCATTTGATAGAATGAGAACAAGATAAGAATAATTACTGTGATTATTTATATACAGCATAAAATATTATAAATATCAATTTTCTATCGAGATAAGTGAAATATACGGTTTTATTCTTTTAATTCTGCACTGCGCATTATACATAACTGGTGCAGTAATGGTTCCTGCACACAGGACGCGGTAATGCTTGCCGCGCGGCGGAAGTCCGCGCGACAGCCAATCAATATGTTGTTTTTCCGTAAGAGCTAGAAGGTTATTACGGAAAGCAGCATATTGATTGGCTGTCGCGCGAACTTCTGCCTCGCGGCAAGCATTACCGCGTCCTATATGCAGGAGCCATTACTGCATCAGTTCAGTGGTGCAGTTAAAGAGCTGCACGGAACTGGTGCAGTAAGAGTGAGACAAATATATCTTAGGCCTGTTCTTTGTAGCTGCACTGCTGAACTGGTGCTATGTATTGAAGTGAAACAAATATACGTTTTCTCATTCTAACTTATTGCACTAGTTCAGCAGTGCAGCTACAAAGAACAGGCCTCTTATCTCGCTCTAACTTATTGCTTTACAAATGGCGCCCAACCATAAGAAGTTATTCTTTTTAGCGGATTTCCTCTCAATTGGGGAACACGAATCAGGACCACTTTCTCTACTCGCGCCCTATCAAGTTCGGTCTTCTTATCTCTTACCTCATGGTCTATGTATATACGTCATTGGAACTCACAGCACTGATACCTACGCGCATATCCATGCTACAACATGCTTTGCAATTCAAAATGGACTGCGTCGTAAAATGCTTCAAAGCATTAAATGGACTAAATCTAAAGTAGTATCTAACAGCTGATATGAATTGATATCAGTCACGATCAGTTAGTACTTCCAACCGGACGTTAGTCATTATCCAAAGTTGTTTTTTCAATCATGTTAATGTGTAAATTTCTCGCATTACATTCCCAGAAATATTCAACGGAGAGGACGTTATCGCGGATAACATGACAAAGGAACAGCATCAGTCGTATTGCTGAATAAGGATTTATAGAAGAGTCCCTGTAGGTTATGCAAAGATCTTTAACTGTCAAAGTTCTTACGACAAAATGGAGAAACACATGCATTTATGGAGAGACGCTGACAAATTGTCTTTCACATTCGATGACAAGCCGAACGGCATTATCTGCAAACTCGTTACTATTAAAGATCACATTTTTGTAGCCACTACAACTAATAATCTATACCATGGGGAAGTGTCCTTTCAGAAAGATACTTGCCCCATAATTACTTTTAAGAGGGCTCAATTCGATGTTATTGACGTAGCATCCAATTCTGAGCATTTGTTCATTGTAAATACTAATGGACATGTTTTGAAAGTAAATCCTCAGGACATGAATGTTGTAGATACGATCATTCTTAAGGAAGAGGTGAAATATTGTAGCCATGGGTATGTATGTCTCAAAATATACTACATATAATAAGATTTAGATAAACCTGTTGACTCACTTGTTGTCATCTTGTTTTTTTTCTAATTATTCTCTTATGTTAATAGAATTTATTTAGTATATTTTATCTTATATATTTATTATCTTATATATTTATGTAGTTATTATCATTAAGTAGTAATTATTTTGTTGTAAAAAGATATCTTATTACAGGTTTAAAGAAGAAAATGAAATAGTAAAAATCAAGTCTGTAGCGGTTAGTGATAACGCAGCATTATTTGTTACGGAAAATGGACAACTCTGGGCAAGTGGTGGTCAACCACAAATAGATATAAATAGTATAGAACCAAAGAAAGTTAGATTTTTTGAAGGAAGGACAGTGTCTGAGGTAGCTTGTGGCTCGAATTTTAACGCAGTCACAGTAAGAAAAACCACTAAACTTATAAAAGATGATACAGATAGTGAAAACGATCTTGAAGAGGAAGTTTTTATTAATTCTTGCCCACAATGTCTTAACAATGTTATGTTGAGTCCTGGAAGTGTAACATCATCGGATACATGTCCCACTGGTCTCCATGCACAGCAGTTTAGCGAAGATCGTTCTACCAATTCCATCAGTGCTCTGTCCACTGCCAGTAAAGAACACATTCCTCTGCCAGAAATGGACAAGAAGGAGAATCATTCTAATATCATTGAGAATGGTGGGGAATGTCTGAATGATGTGGTAGATTCCGAGAAGGATGAGAAGAGAAACATGATATTTATAAACACAGAGATTGCCCGACAATTTTTAACTAGACAATTGTCGTGGGTTTCATCGTATGGAAGTGCCCAGGAGGATATACCACTGGAAGGTGTTGATCGGCCAACAAGATTAATCAAGCAAAACGTATCAAATATGGCGAATTTGGTATATGAAGGAGTTAAAAACGTAGGTGGTAAAGTTGTAACTCTATCTAGGCATATGAGTGGAAGTTCCGACATTAATGAATCCAAAGCCGATAGCAATGAGAACTTGGAAGAGCAAGGTAACAGTTGTACGAAGCCTACCACGACCAGTTTAGCACTGAGCTTGCGTTGCGAGGAGTTCCCCTGGTCGTCGAGCACGGGCTCCTCCGAGCACGAGTTATCTCAGCAAGGCTTGAATGAGAGGATCAACGCGTTGTCCCGCACTGGTAGTAATATATTGGCGACAGAACTCTGGACATGGGGTGATGTACAATATGGACAGTTGGGAACGGGAGATAATATTAAACGGCCGAGGCCAGTATTAGTAGGAAAGCTTAGCCACACTGGGATCAGAAAGATATCGTGCGGTGCCTTCCATGTGCTCGCCTTAACATTAGATGGCAGAGTTTTCGCATGGGGCCGTAATAATTATAAGCAGGTGACTTTGTACACTACAACCGATCAGAGCGCTCCTCAGCTGTTCGCCACCAAGTTAACATCGAACGAAAGGGCTATTGACATGGCAGCTGGTAATTTCCATACTCTGGTGATGATGCATCATGGTTTATACTTCATGGGGCAATCGAGGTAAAATTAGTCATATAAAAGTTCTTCTCCTATTTAGCGATCCTATTTAGCGATCTTATTCTCATCAGATAATCAATGAAAAACATTGTATTTTTTCAGCAAAACTGGAGATATGTTTCATCTCGACATACAAACTAAAGATGAATCGAACAGCCCAAGGGAAATTTTCAGTTGTGGACAATACAGTTGTTGTTCTATGATAAACGAGCCAACAATAAACGTATCGGAAGATTTAGTAAATGACCAGATCTTTCTAGAGGAGATGTTGACCGTTTATCAGAATTTAATTAAGCCATTTCAAAAGAAGAGTGGTAGCACCCAGGAAGCCAATGTATACGAAACATTGTGTCGTTGTTATGCAGAGCTAATGCACTTTAGTGTTTTAAATGTCATAAGCTTATGGGATTACTTCAATCATATTGGAGAAGCATATGAGGTCGCAATTGTTGCCAATATAGAGGAATTTATTACGGTGTATAAATATTATATAAATGCTGTTTGCGATGTTATATCTCTCGGTGGTTTTATGCATATTGCAAAACTTATTGAAGTGCCACAAGTAGTATCAAATTTATTTATAGACAATCCAAAAAGTAGCGATATAAAAAGAAATAACAATGAACTTGTTATAACGATGGCATTACAACATCCTCTGTGTAAACTACATAGGTAAGTCGATTATGTCACGCGCGTGCGCGTTAATGTAATATTAGTTTTCTTTTAAAACGTTTAATTTACAATATTTAATTTCTTTATAATGACATACATTTTATTGCAGGTACAAAAATATGATACATAGTTTAATAAAAAGCAACGGCACGAGAATGGGTGTCGAACGATTACAAGAGGCTCTTGTAAAGTGGGAGCAGGTGCACGATGAACAGGAGAAACGTCAAAAAGAGGCGGAAGCTACGAAATTGTTCTGGGAGAGTTCCGGCAAGTTAGGAGAATTATTGAAATCTCCCGATAGGAGACTGATTAGAGAGTCGAAAACTTACCCGCTATCGATACTTAATTCTGGCAGATTTTCATCTCATTGGTTCGCTTTATTGACGGATATTTTTATACATGTTACCGGCACTACGTATACGGTACATCCACTTCGAACATTATGGGTAGAACCCTTACCGGACTCCGAAAATGTACAGGTATGAGCTTCTACCTATACTTGGATCTATTACATGACATCTCAATCGTTACGAGAAAAACCGATATAATAATATAATTAAAAATAGATTTATTTCTCTTTCAGAACGCTATGTCGATTGTCACGCCGGAAGATAACTTCGTATTGTATACTCCTACTCCTTCCGAACGTAATGAGTGGTTGCATGCTTTGCAAAATACTATAAAATACAGTTTGCAACGAGTGATCGGAAATATGCCTCCATTAGCGCGGTCAAGCTCATTCTTTTTCACAAAGCATAATATTTTTAAGGATGCAACATATACAGGTATGTATTGAAAAGTATATTTCATTTTTATTTGTTATGTACGTTATATATTGCATATTTTTTATATGATGAAAGTTTAGTTCAAGATGAATATTGTGTTTATAAATTATATAACAAATCTATAGGACGATGGCTAAATGGTAAACCACATGGCTCTGGAAAACTGGAATGGTCTGATGGTCGTACATATGTAGGGCAGTTCCATAAAGGTGTTGTTCATGGTACTGGCAAAATGGAAATTCCAGTGCAGGGTGTGTATGAAGGTCAATGGAAGGATGGCCAGCAAAACGGATACGGAACTATGAAGTGAGATTAGTTTTTTGAAAGAGAATATGTTTATATAATTAATTACTTCATAAAATACGTAATGTAAACTTCTGTTTATAATATATTTCTAGTTTTATCGAGTAAACGAGAAGATATTACATAATATGATATGATATGTTTTTAGATACGTCAACGGAGATTTTTACGAAGGGTACTTTAAAGATGGATTACCTCACGGCCACGGTGTCAAAAAGGAAGGACATTTTATGGCATCAGTTGCATCTGTTTATATTGGAGAGTGGGCCGCTGGTGTTAAACAAGGCTATGGAATAATGGATGATATTATGACAGGTACAAATACACACATTTACTTAGCTAAATTTGTATTACAGTTGAGAAATTGCCTTACAAATGAAATATAATAATAGTGTGATGTGAACTCTTTTGTGAACTCATTGCAATGTCAAGATTATGCATTTATAGCTCAATAATGTTACAGGTGAAAAATATCTTGGATCGTGGAGTAATGGAATGAAACATGGCTGTGGTTTAATTGTGACACTTGATGGCATTTATTATGAAGGTGTTTTTACGCAAGATGTCTTAACGGTACTATTATTAAAATATTATTAACGGTTAACTATTATTTAAATATAAAAATAATATATATAGCTTGCATAAATCTGATTAATTTATATTAATGCTCGGAATTTCGTTTGCATTTTTGAGATGATTTTTGAGGACTCGGACTACTTTCTTCTTCTTGCCTCTCTCTCTCTTTACTTGTCAAGCGTGCAATTGGTAATCAGCATCAAGACTGTCAACTTTATAAGACATGCGGATCTTCTTTATTTATGAAAAATTAGACAAAATCTCATAGATCTTATGAAATTGACGATTTTGAAGCTAAGTACCGCTACAATCATAAGGCTTGATGAGGAAAACAATGGGAAAAAAGTAGACATAAATCTCAAAAATAGTCTCGAAATTGCAAAATAATTTCTGATTTATACAAATGCAAATCTAATATCTTTTTATAATATTGTTTATCCTAAAAGGGTTATGGAGTTATGGTGTTTGAAGATGGCACGCATTATGAAGGCGAATTTAAGTCTGCTGGTATATTTTACGGGAAAGGTACCTTAACATTTCGAAGCGGCGAAAAGCTAGAAGGTAATATGAATGGTGCTTGGAATGAAGGTGTCAAAGTTATTGCCACGTTACACATGAATAAAAGCGGTGGAACTGTGCAACCTAATACAAAACCGGCGTAAGTTCTCGTACGAAGTATCACTCTGTTAGTAATAAGTGACAAGTTTATTCTTAGGAAACTTATTAAAGATATATTATGCATTTTATAAATATGCAAGCTGTTTATTTGCATTCATTATTTTTGATAGATCTTTTGGAAAACTATGTGTATCCCCAGATCAAAAATGGAAGGCAATATTTAAACAGTGCTATCAGCAACTTGGTATATCCGAGTCAGTCACCAAAAATTCTAGCTACAATGAAAAATCTATAGAGACGCAAAGAGTGTGGCAAAATGTCGCTAGCATAATAACAAAGTCTCATCAAAGGACACTGCAACGAAAAAAGCTCTCGGTAAATGCATCAAATGCAAAAGAAAGAAACAGTGAAACAATTGATCAGTTGGATAAGATCCCGTGCTTTGGACGTGACAAACTCACCAGTCAGACCTACAATGAAGTCCATAAATATTTAGTGAAAGCTTTTGAGAGCCCACATCATCCATTAGGTGCTCTCTTGACTGAAGTAGCTGCGGTATACACGGCTACATATGGTGGAGTGAGAGTACATCCATTGTTACTTAGTCATGCAGTATCAGAGCTTCACAGTATTACAACAAGGATATATGAGATAGTACTTCTTTTATTCCCAGCTTTACCACGTTGTGGGAAAGAATATGTTCTCGAAATTGATGGTAAAGAAGAAGAGTATGTATGTTGTAAATCTACATTATGAAATCCATCTTATCATAACTATGTGCGGAATTATCGGTTTTTATATTACCTAAAAACATTTCTTTATTTTTAGACAAGTCATAAGCGCTGCTGCGATACTTCATCCGATATTACTGCCACGTGTACACTCAGCACTCTTTGTATTATATGCCTTACATAATAAAAAGGAAGACGACGCGTATTGGGAAAGATTAATGAAATGGAATAAACAACCTGATATAACTCTAATGGCCTTTCTCGAAATTGATCAGTAAGCAAACTCATTATTAGTAGTATATTTTTGTGTAATATATTTCGTGTGCAGAATTAAAAATTATTTGTACTTTTATTAAACTGCAGGAAATTCTGGAAAACTACAAACGTAATGAACATCACAGATAACTCATTACCGTATCAACACGAACCTTATTTCAGTGATGCTATAGAAACTTTACAGCAGCTTAAAACAACCTTTTCACCTTTAGAAAAATTGTTAGTGGTCAGGAGTACATTTGAACAAATGACACAAGTAAGAATATAGATATCGCTATCAATGTTGTGTTGTTTCTAATAAGCATATTCAAAAAGATTATTCACACTTCCTCATATTTGTATGTATAGGCAGTACAAAAACAATTAGGATCTACGTATTTGTGGACGATGGATGAACTTTTCCCGGTATTCAGTTTTGTCGTAGTACGTGCTAGTGTATTACAATTAGGGAGTGAGATACATTTTATTGAGGATTTCATGGAACCATATTTGCAAAATGGCGAACTTGGTATCATGTTCACTACTCTTAAGGTCAGATATAACAATTACAAAGATTAGAATAGTAAACAAGATCTATTTAATAAACAAAATTTAATGCAATGTATTAAAATTAACTTTGTTATAGGCATGTTACTACCAGATATTGCAAGAGAAAACAAACATGGGCGATTAAAATTACAAATATATGGTACAATAAAATTTCAAACTGATGAAATATATATACGTGAAAATAGTATCAAACTCGAGAAACAATATGGTAGGATAAATATGGATATATGGATGAAAAGTATGCTGGCTGAGATTTTAGCATAAAAAAATCCACAAGTCTCAAATTATTAAATCAGATTTTATAAGTCCATTTTCATTTACAATTCATTTACGTAGGCTTATTTTCATCAAGTCCATGAAAGGTTATTACAACAAAATGTATTATGAAAGTGATAAACTGCATTTATGCTGTACAATAGAGTTTTTATCATCTTAACTACATACATATGTAGAGAGTAAGGTGAAATAAGAAATTAATATAACATATCATTTTATTAAAAACAATTCGTCATTACAAAAGTATACATAAGTTTATTGAATATTTGTGTGTTATGTGTGAGTTGCATGTAGAAATTGGATTTCAGTACTTCCAATTATCTATTGTTTAAAAATGCGTATGTTAAATACTATATAAAGTCATAAAGTAACTATATAAAAATTATATATAGCTCAATTTACAAAAAAGATTAAAAGTTATCTTCTTCCACACATACCTGAATTAAAGATTAAATATAGTAATTATATATTATAATGATCATTATTCGTTGTTACTATTAATAGAAATAATTATTATTAATGTTTTAGTTACTGTATTGATATTTTGATTTTGTTTTATGTGAGGAATAATAAGATATATATCATAAAGCTTATTTTTTCAATCAATTTTAAAGTCAAGTTATTGACAGTAGAATAATTTTAAGTTATTGACAGTAAAATATATCACGGTAGTAGCCTCTTTTGTTAAAAAAAATAACGCAGATATAAAAGACATCTGTAAAATATTTTCTAAATAATGAGATATTAGATAACTATAAAAATATGTAAGGCCTTTTACAGTTTAAATAGACATTTTTTTTATGTGACTTACACTTATAATATTACATGCTTGTGTATATAATTTCTAAATTATTTATATTTTTAGTACTCAGTCATAACCAGTATTTTAATATTACATAAATACAAAGAGGACACAAAATATGAGAAAACAGTACATGGGATATATAATATTATAAGAAATAAGAGAGAGAAAGATAATATATATATGAATTAATTAATGTTAAAATTTAAATTATAGGCTATGTAAAACACTTACACATTAACATCAAACTTGTTAAAGTTGTTTTGTTGTTTCTTAAAACACATACACACACATATTAATATGTTCCCTAAAAAATATGTTTATTGTTTTGTTCTTATTTCATCCGTACATAAATTATATATGTGATATTAGTTAAAGAAAAGGTCTAAAACCACCCCCCTCAACTAGCATGTACCTGAAACATATTCTTTGTATTAACTCAGAGAAGAGCTCGTTCTCTCATTCAACAAATTTTACATATTTTAAATATATATAAATATTTACTCACGATTATATCTATTTTAAATTGTATGATTTAATTACTTCTGCTTGTTTTGTTTTACTAAGTTTAAAGAACTTACAAAATAATTGTACATGTAGCATATTTTATCAAAATTTTATTAACATATAAATTATTACGCGTCTATTTTTACAAGATAGTCACGGCTTCTATCGAGTTAATATGTTAGAGATATACAATCATTGTTTACAATCCTGTACACGTTTCATAATACTTTGATATCGCAAATAAAATTAATATAAATCAAAATTATTGACATCAAATTATAATATAAGAGATTAGCCAAATATTTTACATTGTGTATGTTTGGGAGCATTCATCGCATTCGATTAAAATATTTAAGATCAGATTTTATCAGGCATCAATCAATTTTAAAATAGATTCATTTCTCTGGACTGGCGTAAATCCAAAAAGTTGTACCACATGAATATCATTATGCGGGTTATTTATTTATGTACTGATATTTGAAAAAAAAATGTATACAACAGGATATTAATTATGTATTATATATAAATAACGTATGTAATAAATAAGACTATTAAAGATCGAGAGACTATACTACAAGTATATATATAGATAGTTTTTATTGTAAACCAAAAATTACAATAAGTAGTTTCAGCTATAGAATAATTGTAATATATATAATGATATTAAGATTTCCTCAAACATATTTTGAACAACATGATATGTTAAATAAGTTGTATTTTCTAAGTGCGAGGCGACATGTGTAGAGTTGAAGCTACTGAGAGTTATACAAAAAGATTACATTATTCACATAAAAAATAAGAATATATGAAATAACGAAACAAAAGCTATGCATTGTTAATACATGTGTGTGAAAAAGTTAGCTATTGATTAGTGACATGGATTCAAATTCAATTTACTTTTTAAACTCTTTTTTTTATAACACATAGTTCTCTAAACAGTAATACTATATCCATCATATATTTTTAACTAATCAATATTCCATTATTTATAATGTAAAATAAAAATATATGTTATAATAGTATATATTGATATATAATCGACGGATCATATATATATGCAAATTGTTTATTCATACATAGTTATTGTAAATAAATAAAGAAATTAAAGTAAGTGTGGAAGCAGTACAATAAAGATAATTTATTTACAAACAGGAGTGTGAGAAATGATGTCTTAAAAATATATATTCTACTGTCACTAAAATATCTGCATCTATAATTCTTGCCCTAAATAGAACACACTATCCTCTATTTCTATAATTTTATTATTAATGTCTAGATTGCAAGTTATGTACACATCTTCTATATATTTGTATTATATAAAACACATTTTTATTTAAAAAATAATTTCAAAAATACCGCTACTACGTTTTCCTGTAGTGGCATGTTTTTAACACTTTGTTACACTTTTTATTATTTTATTACACTTTTCTCTCTTTCTCATTCATAAAAAGATCTATTTCTTTCGTTTTAAGTGCACGTAGTGTAAAAAGTGCTGTCGGAAGACTGATATCTCGTGTGTGTATACAATAACGAAATTTTGCAAATTCTACTCAACGAATTGAACAAAGATTTATATTCTAATGGTGATATAATGATAAAAAGAGAATTTGTAAATTTGGTGACTTTTCAGTACTTGAAATTTTAGAACAAGCAGCCCCGCGTGCGTTATACCGCACGAAATATAACCTAAAAATCAACTAACCTTTATGTTACATTTGTTTATACTGTACGACGAAGTTTATACGTAAAACAACTTCTCATAATAATTATATAAGCAGTAAGAAAAAGAATGTCATTTCGTTGCTTTTAAAAAACGTAATTTTACAGATATGTGAGTATTTTATTATATATATATATATATATATAATTCCATCAATTTTACAAATGACACTTCTAATAATATTTTGTTATAGTAAATTGTTTAATTTCTATTATACCTTTTTATTATAGCTTATTTGTTTAATATTAGCTGAGTTATATCCAAAAATCATGTCAAAACGTAAATTGAGTGATATGGCAGAAGATGACCTTGATGAACAGCCTGATAAACAGCCACTTAAGAATTCATTGGATTCCGATGAAGATGATGATGAGACAAATGAGGATGCTTATAATGTCATGAATGAAGATGAATTTGAAGGTCTTATACATATTATACATATATATTATATAATGTCATTTATGTAGAAATTACTAATATATATTTATTTTTATTATTTTTTTATTCTTGTCAAATGGAATCCTTATTTTATACGATATGCATTTTATAGTTTAATTACTTTTATCAAATAGGTACTGAAGATGGACCTTCAGCCCCAGAAGCTAATGTAGGATTTACAGCATTTAATATGAAAGAAGAATTGGAAGAGGGTCATTTTGATAAAGAAGGTCATTATCTTTGGAAGAAAGAGAAGCAAATAAGAGATAACTGGTTAGATAATATTGATTGGATCCAGGTCAGTAAAAGAGAAGGACAATAATATTACAATATACATAAATATAATAAAATGTCATTACATGTATTCTTTACAGGTTAAACCATGTTCTACAACTAAACAAAAAGATACTAAATCAAATGAAGCTCATGGATTAGGAGATAGTGATAGTGATGAAGGAGATGTCATGTTTGATTCTACTCCATTATATAAACAGATGTTAGAGTATCTCAAACCTGGTGAAACAGTTTCTAAGGCATTATGCAGACTTGGTAACCAATCATTGATCGAACATTCATATTTGTGTACAATTGGCAAGTAAACATGAATTATTATGATGCAGGTAAAGGCAAAAAGAAATTAACTACAGCTGAAAGATGGAAAAGGAAAAAAGAATCTAAAACACCTATGGAAGAAGACCCAAATTCTGTTAGTATAACAAAATTGACAGAATTAGCGAATGAGGTATTAACACGTACTGGTAACATGGATATATATCAAGAAACTTATGAACAAATAAAAAAAAAGGTAACTTTGGTTATAATTATTTGAAATACATGTATCTGATAGCTTTATTATAGAAAGTGATATTTTGTAGGTTGAACAATCCAACAAGCATGGACCTCCTTCAAAACAAGAAGCAGAGTTAGATATGTACGCTGATGATTTTGATGTAAAAGAAAAGGCGAAATTGATTGACACTGATAGCAGACCTGGTAATTTTCATATTATGTATGTTAAACGTGGATATATATGTAAGTTGTATATACATCTTATACAGATAAGGCAGTAGAAACAACTAGTGAAGAAAAATCTTCATCTTTGGAAGAAAATGTTATGTGGGAGCTGAAATGGTCACAAGATGAAGATGCAGAGATACACGGACCTCATACTAGTCAACAAATGCATGCCTGGGCAAACGAGGGATATTTCAAAAAGGGTGCTTGGGTCAGAAGAAGTGGGCAACAGAATCAATTTTATAATGCTGCTAGAGTAGACTTTGAGCTTTATCTGTGACACTTCTACCTGATATAAAAAGATGTGAGTGGATAGGTATATAAATTTTCATTAATTTCGAGACTATGAAGGTAGTATATATGTGTGGAATTTTATATATTGACACACATACATATATAATGTGTGTATGTGTGTGTGTGTAAAATTCTTTCAGAACAGATATCTGTACAAATTTATCAGAGGTAGCCATTACTGATACATTATGTCTATGTAAACCTTCTAAGAAAATTCGACATAAGTGTAAACAAGACATTTCTTAATAAAACACTATGAAATATAAAAATATTTCGTACTTTAAATAGAGATCCATTGAAAGGAGCAGACATATTCCAGATACAGAAGAAAAAAGAAATTTTGAATAAATCAAATTCATATTATATAATTTTGGTTGGAATTCGGAATTTAATTCGAAATATATCACGCAATAGTAAGTAATACTTTTGACTATTAATTTGACTAATAAAAAAATTTGGCATATAAAATACGTACGGTGACTCCATCGTTGTGCATATAAACATATCTTCCGGTATGTTGTTAAAAACCATCTGGTATGATACTTAAATTGAGAAAGACCTAAACTCATACTTCAGAGATATCCTGCGCGATACCGATAGGAACGAGAATGTTGAGATTTATGGTCTTCGCGGAGCGTGATATTTTTAAATAGAATTTTATCCCTAAAGTAAATCTATTTGTACTTTACGATATAGAGCCAGACAGACTAACCCTTATTTATCTAGCGGAGTGGAGCTCTCTTCTCCCTAATTCTTATATTTATTTGGCACGTTTCACGCTTAGAGTAGATTTTCTCCGGCGCGGAAACCAAAATATCCTGCTGGAGATAAAAAACGTAAAGCAACGTTTGAAAGTCCTTGTATTTATTTAATGTAAAATTAACTCACCCGTTTGCTCATCTTGTCCGTCGCATAGCCGCATGGAGATCTAATGATTATTCAATTTTGTGCATTCTTGTGCAGAGATAAACGAAGAAGGGATTTACATATACTTTGGTCAACACACATCACAAGGATTGCGTAAGAGAACCATGGAATGGGAAAGGACGATTGGATACGTCTAAACGGAAGATACGCGATGTCGCATCGATATAATCGAACAAAAAGCGCGTCGATAAATTTTTGCGGTGTGTGTATGTGTATGTCAGTATAGACAATTGGTACATTGTTTTTTTTACTGAATATAATTTTATTAAACGTCTTAAACATTTTTATTAGCAATGTATGAAAGTCTTATACGAGATTGCTTAAAATATTATTTTAAGTATTTCGTGTACACGCAAAAAATTGTTCAGACATGAACATTTGGGAGATACGTGTGCATGCATATATGTAAATATATATATGTATATATATGTATCTTTATATATACGTGTGTATATACAGAATGTTTTCAAATTTGCGTCCACGTAATGCGTGATGAGATTCTTTGATTAGTTACAATCTTCTCGCAATCCTTTCTCAACTAAAATTCCATTAAACATCATTTTTCGATATTCGATATTGAACGCCTCGATAACTTAGTTCTTAATTAAACTTCTGTTTAAGTAAAGACAACTTGAAATTTATTGGAGCATAAGCGTTGAACATACACACATACACACACATACTAGTGACTCTGAAGTTTAATTTATGAAAACCCGTTAATTTTTAATCGCTCGCACAACACAACAGTGATTAATATTTCAGACATTTTTATTCGTGTAAAATCGATTTCACGCTAGTCAAAGAATCTCATTACGTGACGCACGAGCGCAGGTGGGTGAGAACACTCCGTATATGCATGTACATTTCGTAGGTATATAAATTCGTAGCTTGTCTCGAAAGATTAGAAAAATCCTAAGCGAAGTGTTTAAACGTAGAAGCCCGAGGTGACTATGCTAGATTATATAGTAAGAAGTATGAATCGACACTTTGGTCACTACACGAGTCGATCATAATTGAAAGAGTCTAAATATGACTACGTTACTAAAAGTGCTGTGAAATACATGCAATGTACACCCGTTGCTTATTAAACCCAACACATGCGCGTACGTTTAATAAGTTCACTAACAATTGTGTATGTTTTTTCCTTCAAAATCAAGATCGCGAAAATGGCTCTTTTGAACGAGGTATTTCTCGTGTGAGATGAACTTTACAGAATCTATAAATTTCGACAAAATTTGTTGCCGTATGGAAAAAATTAATTTGCATAATGCATCAACGCGCACGTATGTGATGAAAAATCTGTGAAAGCGCGACAGAATAGGGCCGTTCCAAAAGAGTTTTTTTGTATTTATTATATTCTATCTTTATCAATTATGTGAATCTCAAGCTTTGATGAGACCGATCTCGTGTCAAATAAAAGAAATGACTGTAACTTTCTATACTTATAAAAAATTATTGTGCCCACTTGTACAAACATTACTTAGACATAGTATTGAATTGTTGTTGGTAGCTACGTTTCCACGTGTTCGTACGAGAGGATGATCGCTAAAATGTTGTCTACTTGTAAGGGAATTAACACGTGGAAATCATCAGCGAGTTGATCCCGAGTCGTTTCGCCTGTCCGAAAGCGCGAACCGTTAAATCGTGAAAATCCGCCAACGGAGACACGGAGGTAGACGAAGCAAAGTGTGGTGAAGGTACATTGCATCACATTCACGCGTGTCGACGGAACAAGTACTTTGGTCTTTTCCAAGCTGAAAGGACGCAACAGCCGGAGAACACAGGGGACGTTCAGACGAGGGCGAAAATAGGGTAAGAACGGCACATACGAGCGGACAAATTACACATGCCGGTTTCATAAACGCACGCGAGACGGAAAGGGCGAGATATTCGCCCGCGGAGCTGTTTCCTTCCCGTCGGGCTTATCCTTATCATTTGCGTTTGGTGTGCGCAGTGCTCTTATTCTAGTACCTAAGCGAGTTCGCTTTCGATCGCATGCGGGAAGTTCGACAAGTCGCCGTGAACGTTTCAACGGCAAACGACCGTGTCACGTGCGTGTACGTTGCATATGTACGCGTGTACATTGCATTATGAAACCGGCGCTGTAGGACAATACGCAAACACTCACACACACACACGTACGTAGGGGGAGGAGAAACAAGTAAAACGGGCACTCACATTATGGACGTTTACACACAGCTGAGGGGACGTGATTTATCGTGTCGGTGTCGGAATAGTCGAGACACTTCTCGCTCTTTTCGATATAGATCACTTCCGCGGATTTATTCCCGTATAAACCGAAAACTCCGGTAGCAGCGGCGACGGCGACAATGCCGATGCTGGCGACAGTCACGTCGAATTAACGTTGACATTATTATCCGACTAATTGCGAGTACGCGCGACTTGATCGGATACGTAAACGGACGTGTCGTATTAATAGTCGCTTTTTAATAGTCGCGCGTTACATGCCATACGGGAATAAATTCGCGAGCGCTTCCTGTCCGCGACAAAAAGCGTTTTCTCGACTGGTTTCGACACCGAGTATACATTCGACATTACATGGGCTGTATGTACATACAGAAATAGCCGCCGAGAGAGCAGCAGCGGCACGCCTCAAACGCATCGAAGTCCCCGGATGAGGAGGATGCTTCAGGAAAGGGACACACACGCACACACGAGCGCATGTTGCGAGAAAAGGATGAGGAACGAGGAGGAAGCGAAGAAGAACATTCGACGAGGGGCTTCTGTCCTCTTCTTAGAGGGATACGTCTAAAGTCTCGCTACAACCCCTCTACAATGAAGCCTCTCTCTCTTTCTCTCCGCCTCTCTCGTCTTTCTCTTGGTCGTTCTCCAGACAAGATGCACATAGCATGACTAACTACCATGACTAACGAGTCGGGCGAAGTGCCACCGAGGAATCTTGGCTAACCGAGTGAGAGAGGGTAGGCACGATGAAATATTTTCAGATCTGATATTCCCGACACCCGCGCCACGGGGGTGGTCTTTTCCCATTCGAGTCCGCGGATTGTCGGGTGCGACTGTTTGCGCGCCGCTGTCTCGCGATGGACTCTCACGCGAGACAAATCGTTAAAAAACATCAAAAGTAGTCGAGAAGAGGAAGAGGGAGAGAGTAAGAGAATGCGAGAAAGAGAGAGAAAGAGGGAAAGAGAGAGAGAGAGAGAGAGAAAACAGTGGCTCGAGCCATATTTTAGACTAAAGTCAACGTTTACGTAATTACACTCGCCCCTTAGTGCCCTCGAATCTCATATTTTCGACCGTATCTTCGCTACTGCACGGCCGGCGGAGTTCAGGCAGGCTTTCCGTTTGAGATTTTATCCGGCGACGATCATCACTTAGGAGGCCGTGGTTTATATCGCGATGGATACATAAAGTCCCGGGGATTCCCGAACGAGGCAGATGCAAATGGACGTCGGCGGAAAAGGTTGCACGGTACTGTGAGCTGCGACATAGACGTATCTCGGATATTTGCTTACGATTTAAGTTTAATCGCGCGATCTGAATGACGGGGAGAGAAACGGAGAGATACGGAACCGGAGAGAGAAACGGAGCGGGAGAAATGGCTGGAGATGAATGCTTAATGTCGGTAATCAAAGTTGTAAATTGGATCGGATTTAATCCCTCCGTTACATTGCGCTCGAGCGACAAATAAACAAAGAGGCGCAACGCGCTGCCCGTTTACATCGCCGGGAGAAAATCGCGGGAAGAAATATTGAGGACCATCGGTTATATCTCACCGCGAATATCCCAGGTCGATCGCGCGTCTCGAAATTGCAATAAATCAGGCGGGCCGACAGTTCGAACACACCGACTTCCTCTCTCTCTCTCTCTCACCCTTTTTCACCCTCCGTCTCTTCCGAGCTTTCTCTTTTCAGCGGGACCGTCGTAAAACTCCTCGCATAATCAACGGGGAAACGATCGGCTGCCGACTTTCGAGTTGAACCGTGACGATCGATCGGGACGCATTCCGCGTCCCGGAACTTGCGAAACTTAGCGAGCCGAGATGGACGAGCCGTTTCTCGACGAAAAGCCGCTGTCCGACGAAAGCAAGAGAAGACTCGTGATGCAGCCGTGCTTATAGGTCAGTGGACCGCGCATGGGAAGCACGTTAATAGGGGATTTTCATTCAGCGTTCCCGCCGGGCTTCTCTCGCTTTGGGGAAAATTAATTTTTCAGGGCGGGAGCAGGCGAAGACGTATCACTTATGGGGTCACGAGGAGGAAGCCAGGTCCGGAACGTTTCGCCTAATCACGTTAAAGCTAAACGCCCTCGTGAATGTACTCTTTGTCGATTTTCCTTCTTCCCTTTTTTTTCACCGACTCACTCTTTTTCTCTCCCCCTCTTGCTTTTTGTCTCTTATTTCTCTTGTTTCTCTTCATTTTATTTTCTTTTTTCCTTTCGCATAGCGGAGCACTATCATTTTTTAAACGGCCGACCGGGCCGTTCGCGGCGAATGAACGTTGATGCGAATTGATGGGGATTGCCGACTATCTGGGGAACTGTGAACGTTTCGCTGGAACGGCGGTTTCCATACATTTTTTATGAAACCATCCGCATATCGAGCGCGACGGCAGGGAGAACGGGGATTCTACGTCTCGTTAGAGCAGCGTAGTCACGATCCTCAAGGAAATAAGCTTTTTTTCCGCCCGGCCTCACGCACATACGAAAAAATGGAGTAAGTAATTTTCACTGAAAACAAACTCGTTCTTTAATATCGTGATTGCCAATAATTTTTCTCTTTTTCTCTCTCTCTATATGTATCTCTATCTCTCTTTCTCCCTTGCAGGATTTATACACCGTGTGTCTCGATGTTATCCCGACAGGATCAAAGTCAATTCCAATCTCTCGTTAATGTCCCATTACCATATTGATACGAGTTTAACGAACTTCTTTCGTTGGGACAGCGATCTCCCGATAACGACTGTTCATTTATTATGGAAAGAGAGAGAATTCAGCTATCGAGAGAACACGTCGCGACAATGCCGGAGGGATATGCGCAAGCAAGTATTGTCTCGAAAGGTTTTTCGGCTCCGCGGCGTAAAGTTCGCTTGCTCTTCGCTTCAAGATCCCTGCTTCGCTTCTCGCGAGCCAACGGGCGAAAGCGCGAGGGGACAAAATTCGAAAAAAAAGCATCTTTAATCTCTCCCTTTAAATTCCGCCGTTGTGGAAGTTCGAGCTGCGCGACCTGTAGTAGGAAAATGCGATTCAGTAACGAGACTTAATCTCCGGGCGTTGCAAACTACGACTCACGAAGTTGCCTTACAAGCGGATCCAATTAGGAAGTTTTGCATATTCTGTTAGGTTTCGCGGACGCGGTGCGTTTGGAGGCGTGCGCAAAAACATACAAATAGGTTCTTAGGATCGTAATCGCGTATTCGCGTAACGACTTCCGTCGTCGTGCGTAACATTGAGGGATAACGCTGCCGGCGAATTTTTCTCCCCCTTTTTTTTCTTGTCTTCCCTTTTCTTTTCTTTTCTCTTCCCTTACGCGCTGGGACGAGATCATTACGTCGAATCGCGCAAGTACGAGTCTCTGCGACGGTGTGTGTCTTCCCGCAACGGAAATGTACGCACTTGGTTCGTACTGCATTAAGTATATTTTCGTATTCAAAAACGTAACATCTCTTTTTCCACAAACTTAACACATCATAAATTAATAAATAAATATATATTTATATCTCGTATATATATGCATTCGCTTATGCTTCGTATATAAATGTGTCCTTTTCCGTAATTCCTAAATGTATTCGGTGTAAGTGTGTGCTTATACAGTAAAAGGTCGTAACTATTATTGCTTCAATGTACAACACTTCGTACGAATGAGGGTTTCCTTTCCCTCCCCGGGTCGGTCGCAAAAGAGGGGAAAAATCGGTTTCGCGACCTTTAACGTAATTTGCTCCCTTAAGCGTCTCATGTGTGAGGAACGTGCTAACGCAATTCTCAGCAAACAACTCATCGCACCCTTATTAACTCCGTAGTAAGTAATAGTACGTAGTAGTATGCAGTAGTATGTAGTAGTAGTAGTGATAGAGTAGTAGTAATAGTAATAATAATAGTAAGAGTAAGAGTAAGTGTAGTATTAGCAGCAGTAGTAATAGTAGTGGTAATAGTAGTAGAACGGCAACGCAGTTTGACGCGGCCGATACGCAGAGAGAGTTTTATTTCGGAAATCTCGAGCCGAAGGCCATTCTCAGCCTGGAACGGACTTTATACGAGGAGTATTAATCTCTAGGTAGCTAGTAATCTCTAGGACGATCCTTTAATCGACTAACGCGACGCAGCTTTGATTTGATTTGTCACTACGTTCAAACGAACCCGACGAAATGAAGGCGCTTCGCCTCACAAAACCGGGCCACTGCATTCGCACTGAGCCAGTGGATTTCAACACAATCCTCGAAAATAAATACGGGTCCTCGCTTCCTACGGCCGGTGGTACACAACGTACTCTTACGCTCCCGCACAATTTACATTCCGAGTCAGATTGTGTTCTCTCAGTGAGAATGCATCCTGGCTCTCTCTCTCTCTCTCTCTCTCTCGCTCGCTCGCTCACTCACTCTTTCATTCTCTAATTTTCTCGCTCACTCTCTCATTCTCTTTCTCTTTCTCTCTCTCTCTCTCTCCCTCTCAATCTCTCCATCTCTCCTTCGTTCTCTCTAGCAGCGACGCAACTATCTCGGAAGACATTTCATTTTCACTCGTCCACACGGTTGCTTCTGTTTGTCCTGGGGGATAATTTCAGTGTGTCACGCGTCACGGCCGCCGGTCCTCGCAAGCAAAACGCGGCACACATTCGTTCATGTTTCGAGCAACGGAATCTCGGATCATAATTCGCCATCCCGACGACGACGACGTCGACGACGACGGTGGTTGTTATCGATCATTTCCGTCGCCAAACGGGAAATTGCGAACCGCGCGTATCGACTTTCGACACTTTCGCGTTTACCGCGGCGTACGAACTATTCGGAATCGCTGTGGACGTTGTTTTCCCTCTATTCCTCCTCCTTCTCCTTCATTCCCTTCTCCGAACAAACACACCACTATTGCCGAACGTGAACAAACGTCCAGCACTTGAGCCGCGTACGCACCCCCGCAGTTGGTCGGTTGGTCCTCGTGTGCGAGTTGAGACGTGGCGTACTGATAACGACGATCGTTCCGGGGGCGGTATCGTGCCTCGCGTAAATTTAACGACCGAGATATCTGCGCGAATCCTTTATATTTCCACACCACCCCCGCGGCGCGCATCCTCGCTCTACGCACGCGAGACGCTGCGGGGGTTGCCCCACAGGCTGCATAATCCCGAGGATATTTCGAACATTTAAAAGCCCGCGATACGGAGTTACCATCCGTTGTTGACGATCTTCGTCAAGAGAGAGACCGTTCTCCGGATTCACATCGTGGACTCGCCGATTAGCGCTCGCAACAACAACCTGAAGACAACCGACTTGTACCATTCGCGAACGACGGACGCGCTGCACATTCACACGAACACGACATGCGGCTTCTCCGAGAGCAACGGTGGCGGCGGCGGCGGCGGTGGCTCGTAGTCATAATCGTATTCATAATCGTAACCGTAGCCCAAACGCCGCGGCGGGTTCGACCTGGGAACGGCGGGGCTATGCGTGCGATAAAGCGATAGCACTTCCGGAGGCTCGTCGCGTAGATCGGTCACGTCCGCCACCGCGTACACCCCCTCCTCTGGCTGTTTCCTGTACGAAGGTTCGACGTCGCGGTGACTCGGACGGGCATACCGCGGCGTTTCGTAGATGTTCGTATCCTGCGAGGACTGTGGGCTACGCTCCGCCGTGACCGAGGCCTTACCGCCGCGTGGGGAATCGTACGAGGTGTCTTCGCTGCGAGCCAACAGCCGTCGGCTGTAGGACTCGGCGTTCTTGTCCAGCTCGTTGTTGCTCCTGCCGACGTAGACGAGAAATTCCGGGCGATTTGGGGCGGCGTACGCCAGCCGTCTCTTCCTTTTCGCCCGCGTCGCACGAGCGACGAGGGCGAGTACGGTGGCGGCCGCAACCAAGCAGCCGGTGGCTGACAGTGACATGTAGAGCAAACTCAAACGACACCGCAGGGAACCCTCCGAGAGCGCGATCAAGGCCTTGCCGGCGAACTCCTCGTCGCTGCATACGATGTCGTGCGTGTCCAGCTCGAGCCGCGTCTCGTTTCGCCGCTCCTCCGCACGAATAACGTTCCACAGCCAGTGCACCGAGCAGTTGCACACGAGAGGATTGCCGCCGACGCGGAGATGCGACAGGCCGTCGACGGGGAATTGCGTCGGCTGCAGCGTCGCCAGGCTGCAGCGGCGTAAAGAAACCCACCTGAGATACCTGGCGCTGTAGAGCACTCGCGCCGGCAGTTCCCGCAGCTCGCGGTTCCCGTCCATCGAGATGCGCTCGAGGTTCACGTTGTCGGCGAACGCGCGCGCATTCACCCTCGCTATCGTGCAGTCGTTCAGCTCCAGGTTCCTCAGCTCAAACAGGTTGCGAAAGGCCACCGCCTCCAACGAGCCCAGGGGATTCGTGCTCAACACGAGGTTCGTCAGGACGCTCAGCCGGGCCAGCGCGGCCGTAGGCACGGACGTCAGATTGTTCCCGGATAGATCCAAGTAGAGGAGATCCGGTAGACGGTCGAACGCGACGTCGGCGATGCTCCTGATGACGTTGTTAGAGAGGATCAGGGAGACCAGCGACGGCAAGGATGGCAAGGAATCCCGGTCCAGTTCGAGTATCAGATTATCCGACAGGTCGATACGCTCGAGACTCGGCGCCAACGCGAGGTTGTCGGTCGGTATCCCCAGCAACGAGTTCTTGCTGAGGATCAAAATGCGTATTTTGTGCAAGTTCCTCAGCAGACCGTCTGGCAGGCTGGTGATCGAGTTGTCGCTGAGATTCAACACTTCCAGCTCGCTGGTGTACTTGAACGCCTGCTCGTCCATCTCCGAGATGTTGTTGCTGGCCAGGTTGAGCTCCTTCAGGGAAGTGAGTCCACGCAGAGCGTTTTTCACTAGCGTGCGTATCGCGTTGTTGCTGACGTTCAGCGCGACTAGGTTCTGCTGCAAGCCGAAGTTCTCCAGGCCCAGCGTGTGGATGAGATTCGAACTGAGATCGAGGCTCCTCAGGTAACCGTAGAAGCTGAAGGTCAGGTGCACGCTGGCCACGCGATTGTTGGACAAGTCCAAGTGGCGGATCTCCGGGTTCAGCTGGATCGGCACGACCTCGAGACCGGCGTGGGCGCACGTGGCGCGTAGACTCTCGTCGTCGCATCGACATCGCGGCGGGCAAAGGCCATTAGCCACGACTGTCATCACGGCGGCTATCGCTATCGCGATCGGCAGCGTCGACGGCGACGGTCCACGTGATGCCATTCCATATGAACTCCTTCCCAACTGGAACTGTCCTGCAAGAGGAAAAACCGAACAACGGCATGCGTATTAATCACGTGGACATGATCGAGCGACGCGTCGCTGACGGGATATATGCCGCGGAGGGTGAAGCGCGTTCCGCGGATGACAATCGCGGGGTGGAATGAGAGACCACCGACACCGACAAGTTTGGCGGATCAATCGGCAAGTTTGAATTCTCCCACTCATCGAGAGTTCTCTCGTTTCTTTTGTTATTTTAAAGCAAAGGATATAAATAATCACGAAATAAGAACTTCGAATCGACACTTGTATATTTTATATCCACGAAACCATCCCACGTAGCACAAAAATATTACACCAACACTAAACTTAAGAAGCTCTTAATTATATTGCTAAAGATGGTACGACTATATTATGACTTTAAAATGTTACTTGCTTGCTACTTAAATGGGACTTTTGATAAATCTTAAGTCTGAACATTAATGCAAGGTTCTCTTGATTAATTCTCGAGGTTGTCTTGTGGTTAAATTAACATAATTTCGATATATCTATCAGAATATAATTACCTCACCATCTTAAGCTGACATTTTAGCAATTTTAACGTTCTGCTTTTCGTGACAGGGAAAATTACTACAACAATTACGTATTACATTCCTATGCAAAAAGATTTAATTTACTGAGATATAGCAACATTTTAATAATAATACTAATTGACTTTATTGCTATGTGGGGTACGACCTAATCTAACCATGCGAATTTAAATTTGAAGGATTAATATCGATAGATCAATAGAGCTTATAATGCCTTACCACATTGAGACAGATCGACAGACTAAACGTTTCCAGCCAGCCGCATTCGCATCTAAGAAAGAGGGAGAGAGAGAGCTGTGCATTCCTCATGACTGTTGATTAATTTCGAAAGCGGTAATGCGTTTTCCGGGTTAATTAACGGTAGTGAGAAACGAATGTGTCTGGTGAAAGATGTTGGTAACTATCGATCTATCAAGAGGTTTGTCGAGTTGCTTGTACCTCTTACATTTTTACACCTAATGTCCGTTGCCGAGTGCACTAGTGCACTCCAAATAACACAAATTTTCAAAAATACATTCTGAAGACGTTTTCAGGATGGAGGGACGTCATCAGAATATTCTTAGGACGTCCTTTGAAAGTGTGAATTGTTTGAAAATAGCTAATACCCTTATAAAAATATCATACTAAGAATCATTGATAATTACTTATTTTCAGTATTAAAAATACTGGATAATAAGTAATTATCAATGATTCTTAGTATGATATTTCTATAAGGGTATCCAATAAGTTTATTCACATTAATTGAATTTTTTACACTTTCACACTTAGTACACATTAATTCTTTAGAGGTTTTAAAAATGGCGTCATGTTTTCCGTTCGCGTTACGAGTATAAATGCAATTTTGATACACTTTTCACTTTTGTTTGGGATCAAGTGTAAAAAGTGTATCAAAATTGCAATTACACTCGTAACACGAACGGAACTCATGATGTCATTTTTAGAACCTCTAAAGAATTAATGTGCACTAAGTGTGAAAATGTAAAAAGTTCAATTAATGCGAATAAACTTATTGGATATTAGCTATTTTCAAACAGCTCACATCTTCAAAGGACGTCCTAAAAATATTCTGATGACATCCCTCCGTCCTAAAAGCGTCTTCAGAACGTATTTTGGAAAATTTGTATTGTATGAAGTGCACTAGTGTGCAACGGGCATTAGGTGTAAAAGTGTGAATAGTACAAGTAACTTGAACAAACTTAAGGCATTTGCGAGATTGAGTGTACGTGCGACCTATCGATCGATTGATCTCGAAGCGCACATAATCGATTGCGCGGCCATCTATCTTTTTACGCCAGCAACCGCCACTGACACACCGATCGACGTCGCTCCGCGTTTTACGTGTTTTTCGTCTGTCGAAAGTGAGTCTCGCGCGAAAGTAAGTGTCTGGAGTGCCGAGAATAGCGATGTGCGATCTTCGGGATGTGTAGTAAGTACTTTACTAGGCAGTAATCTCCTCCTTGCTCGATATATGCAACCGGTGCTTGTCGCGACGTATCGAATCAGCGTCTTTTACATTCTTACACTCGTTATCGATTCACTCAAGTAGAATCGGACGCGCCTAGAGAGATCGTCGGATTGTCATTCTATGTAGATAAATTTCTTCTACACATAAACACACACAAGAGGTTACAAGAACACAATTCTAAAAGAGAATGCCCTGTCAGCGTGTGCATTCGATCTTTGTCTAGCTCGACTCCTATTGGATGCTTCATCTAGCTTGCTCCAATAAAAGTCCAACTAGACAAATTCGAATGAAAAATGCAAGGTACCCCTAAGATTTCGTCTCGAAAGCTTTCATAAGAACACATCAGTCTATGTATACGAATTTCCGTGTGTATCGCGCAACTGTTCTGACAGCTTAATAATCACAGCCTTGGGTTGCATTCCAAAATGTTCTTTTTGAGAAAAATTTTACTCAATACCTATAGTTCATGTTACATATACTATAGAATATCGAGTAAAATTTCTTCAAAAAGGACGTTTTGGAACACAATTTTGATACAATTTTTCGGACATTTAATATGCTCGTCTGTGATAGGCAGGACGTAATGGCTCGCGATTGGGCCTGAGCAGAAAGATTGTCGCAATCGTTTATGACAGTATCGTAGACGTAAATCGGTGTCGGAAGTCACGCACAAGGATTGACGTAGAGGTATGCTGTAGACTTGGCCTACAATAGGTATCGTGGGCTGTAAGCTGTAAGAATTGGGCAATCACAGTCGATTATTACAAGAATAATCGGTTATAATTGGCCAATTCTTACGGCTTACGACTTACTGTATCTATTGTGGATCAGGCCGTATCAAATATGATTAGACGACACAATTGATGCAGCATACGTCTACGTCAATCCTTGTGCGTTGACTTCTGACACCGACTTACGTCTACGACACTGTCAGGAACGATTGCGACAATCTTTGTGCTCAGACTTATTGGCGGTAGAGATCCTCTAGTAAGAGATGCGTAATCTTTGACTGCGATGGTATTGGTCTTGGTCGACTTTGCAAGAATATGGCGGAACCAATGAAATAATCGTGGTAAAGGCGCGGTAAAGATAAATTAAAATTGAAGATAAATTACGTAAACAGAATTTAATAAATTTATAGATATGTAAAACAGAAAAAATTCTGCAGCCTTTTGCTGCAGAATTTTTACAATTTAGAACGCAGCAGCTTGGCATTATATTTTACTTCAGGTATCTCCTATGTGAATATGACTATGTTAAAATATTTTTAATTCTCACATGTATTTTACAATTTATGTGAAATAATATTTTATTATAACATTGCATTAATATTACCTTAATTATCAGCAATTTATATATTCTATATATATTAATCTTATATAAATATAAATATAAATATATATATATATATATATATATATATATATTCATAAACATATCACACATGTAACACATGGAAGCCGCTATATTCTTGCAAACAACCGAAGTTTGCGCATCTCTTACTAGAGGATCTCTAATTGGCGGCAGGTGACAGCGCCGCTCTCGAAAGTGCCGATTGTCCCGCGTACTTTCTCACGTCGCGCGCGCTTGTTTGTTTGCCGACTGTGAGGTCATCGCGTGTCGAGACGGCGAACGACGCAATGCATTGAGATGCGGGATACGTGCATCGCAATGCATCGGTGAGTCGCTACTCCCGCGGCGTGATTAAACTATTTCGTTGCTTACTGAAATCTGGTGTCTCGTCGACATCGCATCGCGTCGGTATCGCGTTAGAGGTTAGGTTAGGTTAAGTTAGGCTGGCTAAAGTTACAGTGCATCTCCGATCGAAAAGTCTCCGCGCGAGTGTCGGTGCTAATGCGATGGAATACCCGGAGAGCTGAGAGCAGGATGTTTGCTTAGAAAACCGGGACACAGGACGTCAAGACGTCAGGAAGCGAGCAGCAATACGTCATGTGTGTACAGGTATGTCCAATCGCTCATTATGAAGGATGTTTCCGAGTCAAACGAACGTTTGACGAGCTCTTCTCGAGAATGAGGGGATATACCGAGTCGAAATTTAGAATCTACTTGAGAACCGGTATTCAGGATAGAGTCCGTGCTATTGTATGATAAATATAGTCATACTGATAATTTCTTCACAATTATTCGTTAACATGTGAGACTCATTTTATGCAACATACTCATTTTATAAGACAAATATCAACCCAGACAATCGAATAATTTATAATTAATTGCTCAATGAGAAATTGTAAGATAATTTATAACTATGAATACTGACCAGAGTCTCGCAAGTGGGTGTATTAATATTTGTTTCTTTTTTCCTAACAACGCTCGTGTGTTAGGACGCGAGTTTCAACGAGTTTCTGAGTATGTCAACAACTTTTTTCTCACTTCCGTTTAGCCTTGTTGTTGTATTGGAATCTATGTTTAAATCTTTGCTATGTTTTGCATAAGAATACCTGCCTTCTCATCCCTCTTGAATATCTAAGTCCTATTGAAATTTCCCACGCCGTTGAAACAACATTAACAAAGACGAAGGGAGAAAGTTCGTTGTTTCATATTCAGTGAAGATATTAATCTTTATTAAATTATTCATTATTTGCTTATCGCGTGTCTGCCTCCAATTGAGAAAGTCACATAATAAATACGATAAATTGACACAACTTAAGAATGAAAATTAAATGTAGGTAGAGAATACCGAAATAGTACCAATAATGTCGAGTAATTCTTGAATAAATGTTTCTTCAAGCCTTTAGCATGGAGGAGATGGCGATAAGTAGTCATTTGTTGCTTTAAGAGAATAAGTTATACAATATTATGTCTCGAGATTCTCTCCATTGATTGTCCAAGAAACTCTGACGGTATTTACAGAGTTATTCCAGGAACCAAATTTCGACTCGGGATCCGTTTCAAGTGTTAAATACTTCGCGAACATCTTGATGAATGGTCTTTCGTTAGTCTGCGATGCTGCACAGAACTCCGAGAAGGGAAGAGATAGAAGGTGCCTCTTTAGAGTTGACGCGAAATTAACTGAATAGCGCTTCGGGATTTCTTATCGCGCTCGCGCAATTAAAAGAAAAATATACTTCACGCTGCCGGCAGACAGAGATCAAGGCTGGCCAAAGAATCTGTAACGCAAAGAAAACAGAGTTGCACGGCGGGATCCCGTAGCGTATCGCTGGTTCGTGCGCCACAAAGCGCTAATATTCCATCTAAATATCGCGGTATTTACCACTCTCACTGTGTGTGTACGCCAGATATTTATAAAGTCACGCCTCAAAGCGCAATAGAGAAATTACTTCGCCGCTCCGCGGTCCTAATTGTCTCTTTAACCGAGCGACAATTTAATAACGGTATTAACTCCATGTTAATACCGCAATGCTCCGAAATGTCCTATCAGGACTCCTCTCTACCACCGCCTCCTCCACCACCTGGTCGGTTTATCACGCCGCGCGTAACAAGAGCGACACCAAACGCGCTATCGTCGCGCAATGAACGAGGTCGCGCGACCTCGTTGTCGAATATTAATTGCGCGTTGCGTCGAGAACGCGGCGACGTGAACGCGATAAAACAAAATAAGACCCTAAGATCCACCGCGTCTCCCTTCGTTCCGGTTCGGTTTAGTTTAACATCGCAGTTATCGGCTACAAGTATTTATTGTTGCATTCCACCCGCTTCCGCGCGCGAACGCGAACGTCGGAATGCGTTCTTCGCGCGCGCTTTGCGCGATTATATGAACGATATCCCTACGTCCCGCGTGAAGCTGCGCAGTAAATGCTTCGAATAAAACCCACCGTTAACTGAAAGACCTTTGTGGCGCGGCTAACTCGCAAAAGCGTAACTACCTTTTACGTTCACCGTCAGTTTGCCGCACAAGCTCGATGCACAAGCTCGATGCAAGTTTATTTACGGACACCTGCACGCTCATTCGTGTTCAGATTTCGCGCGGCTGCATCGCCGCCGCCGCCGCCGCCGCCGCCACCGCCGCCGCCGCCCCGCTTCTCCCGGGATATGTCCGACATGGCGCAGTTTGTATGTCAACTTTTTTATGCTCGTAGAGGCTAAATAACGTCACCCACTCGTGACAAAAAGGGGAAATGACAAACTGGTTTCGAAAGAGAAGTGGATATTAAATTTGCGTCTATATGCCCGGCTGAATTTACTGTACGCCGGTTAATTAAATCGCGCAACGAGAATTTCGTCGCGCCTCTGCCCACGTTTCGTAGCCGGCGAATTCTCTTCAGCATTTTTTGACGCGCGACACAATCGTCTGTCGTCGGAGCAGTTGCTTAACGCGAATCACCTGGAGTGCGTTTACATATACAAAATGTGATAACAAAGCGAGAAAGTGACATCGCTTCTCGATGTAGCTGTTTTTCTCCGCGGAGGTGGAGGGGGAGGATGGGGCAGGCGGCAGTAATGAGACGCGAGTGAATCGTGATGAATCGTTTCCTCGATGAAACGTTGCGTGGCTAAACGATGAAATTGTTTATTAATCTAGTGGGAAGAGCGTATCGCGCGCGATTGTTAAACACGCGATAACTATCCGACCCGTTCGACGAGTATCGTAAATTCTTTAGAGAGCAGAGAGAGGGTTATCGATCGTATCGTTGGGAATATTGCGCGCGCGACGCGATGTTTTTTTTTTTATTTTTTTTTCCTCTGCTGCTGCAGAGAAAGAGTGTCAGCCCCCTAATTAAACTTACAAAACTACTCTAACTGCATTATGCTTCTCTCCGCCGCACTGACGATAATACTTCCTCCTCGTGCGGCGCTTTACATTAACGTTTATTTTCCTTGAATTTTCCTCGAAGGGGGGAAGAAATACACAGCGGAACTGCTATAAGCTATAACTATAGGCTCCAAAGAAAGTTGGAGGTAACAAGAAAACGATACGTTTGCCAACGGCACGTTTATTTCCGAGAACGTGGTGCATCCTTCCTTAGTAAATTTATCCGCAAAACAAGCAATTCGACGAGTCGCTGTTTTCGTATTTCACGTGGAAGCACAGCACAGCGCGCTTGATCCGCTGCAATAGAATTGAGATCTGAGGAATTCACTATAGGCGACTAGAGATAAATAATATTCGCGCCATTGGTATTCCGCTGGAGCTCTATGAATTTTAGTCGCTTTAAGTATCAGCGAATTCGCGAGTCGAAATTTTAGCCCTGCTTTGGACCTGAACTTTCTGTATATTCTGAAGGATCGGTGTATTTTTTACTTGGCGTCTCCGAATGACAGAAAACGCGTAAGATGCCACTTGCAGATCTTAAAGAAGTCTCAACAAAGGTTAAATAGAATCGAAAGAAGTTGATATAGACTTCAGAGTTTCAAAGTAAGTGAAATATTTGAGGTCGGAAGTAGGATGAGAATTCCGACTTGTATCGCGTTATGTACGTGATGTTCGTCGTTTTTTTTCTTCCTTTTCTTTTGTACAGTTGATCTGTACAATTAAATAAAGCGGTTCTCAGGCGAATCGACAATTCGCAACAATCCGACGAGCGTCTTACAAACAATGTCTCGGACCGTAACCGCCCGAGATTGGCGCGATGAATAAGAAAAATAAGAAGCGAAGCGCCGCCGCGCGCGCAATCGAGTTTTGAAATTCCGGTCTAATATGCACATAACTCGCCCGTCGATTGAGGATCGATACCGCATTATCTCGTCAAATTAACCGCGATTGCCCCGTATAATGTGCCGGGACCTATATAATCGGGCATGAAAATACCTCGCTTTCCACGCGGAAAACACGCGACTCACGGCGGAATGAGCGCGCGCGCGCGTCGCGAACGTAACGGAACGAACGAACAACGTTGCAATCATGCCGTTAAACTCGTGCCAGAACGCATAATCGAGGGACGCATGCATCCACAGCGGGGATATTACGCACTGCGCCAACGATAATTTCAATCCCACGGCGAGATTTCTGCCAAGCTTCTGCCACCATATCCAGAAATTCTCCCAATATCCTCGTTTCAGTAAGTGCCGCCGCGCCAGTAATTTTTCACGTCTCTTTTTCTACGCCCCGCCGGGGGAATAACAAATGGCGCTGATCTCACTGTCATGTATAATGCACAGATTTACAGCATCCCGCTATCTGACACAGCTATATGTCCGAAGCCACCCTCCTCTCTCTCTTTCTCTCTCTCTCTCTCTCTCTCTCTCTCTCTCTCTCTCTCTCTCTCTCTCTCTTTCTCTCTGTTCTACTCTCTCTCCCACGGCTCGGCTCCGGGCGCGGCCGCAAAAAAATGCAGCGGACGTTAACATCCGCGGCAAGTAATATCCCGTATGGCGGCGCGCGTCATTTTCTCCGGGAAATCGGGCGCCCCCGCTTTTTTTTCTTTCCCTTTTTTTCCTTCTACCTCGTAGAACGGACGCGCCGGGATAGGGGTGTTTTTCGGCCGCGGCATATCGCCGGGAGGTAGAAGAAAGTTGTGAAGAGGGTGAAACGAGATCGGCACGGAGAGGCTGGCCGGGCGGGAGAAGAAAGAGGGACGGAGAGCAAGTTGATTGCGCGGGGAAATTCGAGGATCTTGCCCCGCGGTGGGGCTGACATCGTTCTGATAAACAACGCTTGTCTACGGCCGCCGGATGATAAGAGTAAACCCCGGGAATTAGCTCAAGTATCGCAACTTGGCATCTGGGTCAGCGGCGGGCTTTTATTTTGCTTTCCAGCAACCCGTTAAGGATTTACATCAACGAGATTGACGGCAATCTAGTTTTGTACATCGCGCGAGTTTCGTGCGCCGGCGGCCGATTTAGGCCCATATCAATAGTCGCCACCTCAAACTAATTTCATGCGAGATACTCCGATTTTCATTCAAAGTTATATCCAAGTTTGTGAATCATAATGTATTGTCGTATCTGCATCTGTAACCGCGATTCAACTGGAAAATTCTCATCCGATCTAGAATTCAAATCTGACCTCGTCTCGCTAGAGACGAGTTTCATCAAGTAATAAC